TTCATCTGTCCATTTACCAATTGATGGACATTTGGGTTGTTTACATTTTTTGCCTATTATGAATAATGTTGCTAAGAACATTTTTCTGTAAATCTTCGTTCGGATAAATGTTGTTTCTCTTGGGCAGGAAGAATAGAATTGCTGGGTCTCATGGTAACTTTATGTTTAGACTTTTAAGAAGCTGTTAAACTGCTTCCCAAAATGGCTGCACCATTTTACATTTGCACAAGCAGTGAGTGGAGGAGGTTCCTCGTTCTCACGTCCTTGCCAACACTTGTTATTGTCTGTCTAGCTGTGAATTGGTGTCTTATGGTTTTAATTGACATCTCCCTAATAATTAATGATATTGAGCATCGTATGTGCTTTTTAGCCATTTGTGTACCTTAGGTGAAATGTTGTTCAAAATCTTTTTGATTGGGTTGATTGACATATTGGGGTACTATAGTTCTCTGCACATTCTAGATACAGATTTTCTCAGTACATGTTTTGCAAATGTTTTCTCTTACTCTGTTACTTGTCTTTTCATTTTCTTAATGGTGTCTTTTGAAGCATTCAGGTTTTTAATTTTGCTGATGTCCAGTGTATTAATATTTTTCTTTTATAAACCATGCTTTTGGTGTCATATCTTCAACATCTTTGGCAGTTATAACTCAAGGTCCTGAAGATTTTCTCAGTTACCTTCCGGAGTCTTATTGTATTAGCCCTTACATTTAAGTCTGTGATGCATTTTGGTTTAATTTTTATAAATGGTGTGAAATGAAGACCCAAGTTCATCTTTTTTTTTTTTAAAGATTTTATTTATTTGATAGAGAGAGAAACAGTGAGAGGGAACACAAGCAGGGGGAGTGGGAGAGGGAGAAGCAGGCTTCCCGCCGAGCAGGGAGCCTGATGCGGGGCTTGATCCCAGGACCCCGGGATCATGACCTGAGCCGAAGGCAGACGGTTAACGACTGAGCCACCCAGGCGCCCCCCAAGTTCATCTTTTTATGTGGATTTCCAAATGGTCCCAGCACCATTTGTTGAAAAGATTGTTCTTTCCCCAATGTACAGGTGACCCTTGAACAACATGGGTTTGAATTGTGCAGGTCCATTTATACGCGGATCTTTTTCAGTAAATAGAGTACAACACTGTAAATATATTTTCCTTACAATTTTCTTAATAATGTTTTCTTTTCTCTAGCTTACTTTATTTTAGGAATACAGTATATAATGCATTCAATATATGAAAGGAAGTGAAAGTCCTTCAACTTTTTCAAACTGCCTTTGACTATTCTGGGATTTTTGCAGTTTCCTGTATGTTTAGGATCATCTCGTCCACTTCTGCAAAAAAGCCTGCTGATACATATTTTTTTTTTTAAATACGGAACGCTTCATGAATTTGCGTGTCATCCTTGCGCAGGGGCCATGCTAATCTTCTCTGTATCGTTCCAATTTTAGTATATGTGCTGCCGAAGCGAGCACGATACATATTTTTTTAATTTTAATAGTATTAAGTCTTCTGATCCACGAATATGAGGTGTCACTCATTCATTTGAATCTTCTTTAATTTACCTCTGCAACATTTTCGAATTTTCAGTGTACAAGTCTTACACTTTTATTAGATATATTCTTAAGTGTTTTTATTTTTTTTAAATGAACGTGGCTTCTGCCAAATCAGTAACAGGATGACTTGTTACCACGGGGAGTGGGTGGGTGTGCCTGCTCACTTCTGCTTTCGTCATAAGGGTAGGTGAAGTCTGACATATTGGTTTGATTTTTTTTTTTTTTAATGAAAAACAAAGCAAAGAACTGTGTATATAATGTGTGTGCAAGTTCATAATAAAATGAATTCCTGTGTCAGACTAAAAAATAAAAAAAGAATATGAATGACTAAGACCTTATCCCCTATCTGATCCAGTCCCCCTCCCTTCCCTCCAGAGAGGGTGAGGGCCTGAATTTTCTGTCAGTCATTACTTTGCTTTATGGTTTCACCATATGAGTGTTTAACTGTAAACAACATAATGTTTACTTTAGCCTGTTTTGGCCTTTATATAACTGTAATCATATTGAATGTATTTTTCTGCAACTTACTCTTTTTCTCATTATGTTCCTAAGATTCATCTGTTTTGAAACATGGATTGTATTTCATTCATTCCTCCATCCACTTCTGTGAGCTTTATGGTATCCCATTATATGAGCACATGAGTTTAATTTTCCAGCTATTGATGGTCCTTTGGGTTATTTCTTGTTGTTTTTTGTTTGTTTTTGTTTTGTTTTGTTTTTTGCTGTGAGTAATCCTCTACTGCACATGAATAGAGTTTCTCTAGGGTTCTGCTAGGAGCGGAATCACTGGGTCGGCGGGGATGAGCTTCAGCTTGATTGGATAATGGGAAGCTGTTTTCCCGAGTGTAGTGCCAATCCCAGTAAACTTCCGTCATTGGATTAGTTTCCTATTGTTGCTGTAACAAATCACTGCAAGCTTCTTGGCTTAACACATTTATTATGTTACAGCTCTGGAGGTGAGAAACCTGAAATGGGTCTTCCATATTAAAGCAGGTGTCAGAAAGGCTGTGTTTCTTTCTGGGGTAGAGGAGGTGCCATGTTCTTACCTTTTCCGACTTTCAGAGGCTGTCCTCATTCTTTGGCCCATGGCCCCTTCCTCCGTGTTCAAAGCCAGCAGACAGTTGAGTCTTTTCTTTTTTTTTTTTTTTTTAAAGATTTTATTTATTTATTCATGAGAGACAGAGAAACAGAGGGAGAAGCAGGCTCCCAAGGAGCGGGAAGCCCGATGCGGGACTCGATCCCAGGACCCCGGGACCAGGACCTGAGCCGAAGGCAGACGCTTAACCATCTGAGCCACCCAGGCGCCCAGTTGAGTCTTTTCTTACATCGAATCCCTGTGACGCCAATTCCTCCTTCTGCCACATGCAAGGACCCCTGTGATCACGTGGGGCCCATCCGTCATAATCCAGGAGACTATCCAGGAGAATAATCCAGGATAACCTCCCTATTTTAGGGACAGCCGATGAGCCATCTTAAATCCATCTACTGGCTTAATTCCCCTTTGTCACGTGGCGTAACCTAGTCACAGGCTCTGGGGATTATGATGTGGACATCTTTGGGGGCTGTTTCCTTTCCTACCACAGTTGGTGTTGAGGGTTCTCATTATTCCACGGAAATGGAGATTTAAACTTTCTAACAATTTGTGTGTATGTGAAATACTTAGTAATTATTTTAAAATGACTTCTTTAGATTTTCAGCTGCTCCCTCTCTCCAGGCTTCTCTGACTTTCATGATTTCTCTGTGGCCCCCGCGTGAAGCCGTGTCAAGTTCTGGAGTCACAGTGCCGGAGATATGTCACTCTGAGCTGCGTGATTCGGGCCGGTCACCTCACCTCGCTAAGCTGCAGGTTCCTTATCTATAAAGTGGGGATCATTACCTTGACCATGTGGGGTTGCTGTGAGAATCAGATGAGATAATGCGGAGAAAGTCCCGGCCCAGTGTCTGACAAGTACTAGGAAGTTGACACATGCATGAGTTTTTATTATTTATTCAGTCATCCACTCATCCAGCAGCTCCTGAGTGTTGGACCCTGGACTCACCCACCCAACATTCAGTAACTGCCTAGTATCACCCCTTATGGCTGTGAAGTCCATGTGTGTTGCCTGGCTTTAATGCTTGATGTGCTTTACTGCCGTGTTAGGTGATGTGTAGGATGTAATGGGTGTAGAAGGTCCAGTTCCTAAAGCTCTCTTCCTTAGAGAGATAGATACCTGGGCTCATTATTCTCTTCATGTTTGTTTATGTCTTTGTTCTTTTTTTTTTTTTTAAAGATTTTATTTATTTATTTGACAGAGAAAGACACAGCGAGAGAGGGAACACAAACGGGGAGTGGGAGAGGGAGAAGCAGACTCCCTGCTGAGCAGGGAGCCCGATGCGGGACTCGATCCCGGGACTCCAGGATCATGACCTGAGCCGAAGGCAGTCGCTTAACCAACTGAGCCACCCAGGCGCCCAAGATTTACTTATTTATTTTAGAGAGCACACAAGCAGAGGGAGAGGCAGGGGGAGAGGGAGAGAGAATCTCAAGCAGACTCTGCACTGAGCATGGAGCCACATCTCACAACCCTGAGATCATGACCTGAGTCAAAATCCAGAGTCGGACACTTAACTGACTGAGCCACCCAGGCGCCCCTATGTCTTTGTTCTTGAAAGACATCATTAAACAGAAGCAGAAAGTTGGGGGATATTTTTCCTTTTGTCCTCAAATGATTCCCATGTCCTGGAGTACACCGCGTGTCATCTGAAAAAGGAAGCGAAGAATGTCTTCACCCTTTTATGGACAAGGAGTTACATTAACAATGTAATGTCATGCTCAGGTCATGCTCTCAGGGTCCTGGGATCGAGCCCTGAGTCAGGCTCCACACTCAGCGGGGAGTCTGCTTGAGATTCATCCCTAATATTGTCACCCTTGTGGTGATTGTTATTTTTTTAAACTAAAGAGTACATTAGTACATTCCTCCTTTCAATTCCTGAGCTGAACTTCCGAGTTTTCACTCAACAGCAGCTTTGGCAGCCGAAGTTACTCGAATCAGAAAAATCCTGTTTGATACAGAAGTAAGCTTTGAATCTGCAGTTCATCATTCTGTTCTTGGGACCCAACTCAGTGCTTTCAGGAGACTTTTATATGGTGTGGAAAAGGGAAATAAATTATCCAGGACCTTTGAAGGCCCTGGTCACCCAAGTGGTGGTGCTGTGTGTGTGTGCATGTCTGAGTAGAGTCTACATCCACACCAACTGCCGGATGAATGAGAGTTTGGGTAATGGGCGGGGTGGGGAGTTTTTAAAACTCTGAGTTGAAAAAATACTAATGTATGTGTTTTAAAACAATTTAAATACCTGACCCATAGGGAATGATTCAAAGCATGTCTTCCATGAGAAAGAATGTGTTGCTCCTTAGAACTCCAAAATTGGCCTCCTTCTGGGCAACATCTAACCCTTGACAAAATCATTTCTCCCAGGCGGATGCATGCCACGCCTACCAGATTGTTCACCGAAACGGGATTCCTGATGAACAGATCATTGTGATGATGTATGATGACATAGCCAGCTCTGAAGAGTAAGTAGGCAGCGTTTTGGACTGGTGGTGGTGAATTCAGGAGATGTATATATATATATATATATATAT